TCCTCCAAGAACAGGGGGATGGACTCAATGGTCTTTATAGCCCTTTCCAACTCAACTGTTCTATGATGTGATGATATGGCGGTGTTCTTGAGTTCCTATGACTGGACAGGTGCCTGTAATGGATGGCAGGGTAGAGCCTGTTGACCAGATTTGCTGCAGCTGCTGGGGAATGGACCAGCTCTTAGCCTAACTGTGCACCAAAACCCAGGTGTCATCATAGGCAGAAGGCTCAAGTTTGTGCAGGGAGGCAGAGTAATAGTCAGATGAGTTCCTCAGTCCGGTTCTGGGGATGTCCAGCATTTTTCACTGCCAAGGCCACCCATGCCAGCTTTCATAAACATAAATCTGTATGGACTTCGGGGTGCATTTTTTAAAAGTGCATTTTTTGTATGTCTCTGCCCACTGAGAAAAATGTGTTCATGCAGAACATGGCATTTTTGAAAAGTATGCATTTAAGTGTACATTTTATCAGGCACGTTCTTTTTGGTCTGGGGAATGTACTGGAAGTACTTAAGTATATAGATTTTTGGATGCAAAATTTGTCTGTTCCATGTTAGTTTCTAGGGGATGCTGAATGAATAATTCTGTAAAATACAAATTTAAATACCCATCAGAGCTGGTTCCTGACACAATTTATCAAGCAGAAAAGAGCAGAGAGGAAAAGGGCATCCCCTCCCCTCTGTTCATTGATTTCAGTTGAATTACTGATTTATGGCAAATGTTAAACTGGGCAGAGATGTCATCTAAGGCCACAGTTAGCCCTGTTCTTGTCAGCCACAGCAGCTGACAAGACTGCTTGTCAAGATTATGATGCACAGAGCTTCATAATCTTTGCAGGATACTCCCAGGGCCAGCTTGTTAATAAGCTTTTCATAGGTGTTTTTTCTTCCATTCTCCATGGATGACCATTTGATGAAGAGACCATTCTGGGAAATACCCTGTGCACTGAAAATGGCCATGTGAATGAATGAATATGCATCCGAAGCAGAAGCCAGACATTTTGGTAGCAATTCAGTTACCAGCTAAGTCTGCCCCGCAGTGGACCTCCGTTTTGTCTTCCAGTAGGCATGCTGCTTTTTGTTTTGTTCATCTCAGTCCCAATTTAAATGATCATGTATCTTTAAAAGAGTTCACACAATTGAAATCTTTTCTTGCATTTAACTCAATTAGTTTGTTCAATTGATTATTTTTCCACCTGGGAAAGATTGCAACTTTGCCTGATTGGTTCCACCACTGTATTTCAGCCAGTGCAGTGGGAAGAGAGAAGCAGGACTGGGCTGTTATATACTAGCTGGTCAGCTGCAGAAAAGCAGCTAGTTGGAGGTGTTGCAGAGCAGAAACTGTGTGGAGATGGATTATAAGCTGACATCCTTCCTTTCCTGTCAGTTTCTTTCCTTTGCTTTTACTACTTTGCACTTTGGTAGTAAGTGCAGTGTTGAAAATTTCTTTCTTGCTGCAGAAATCCCCAAGCTCAACCTTCAGGGCCTTTAGGAGCAAAGATGCTTCTGTCTGAGTCCTGGGGTGAGTCTTTACCAGTCAGAATGGACAATACAGAACCAGCTGGATCCACTTATCTGGCTCAGTACAAGGCAGCTTCATATGCTCTTGAAACAGAATGTTCCTGGATGTTTTGTTTCCCCTATAATCTTCTGTTTCTCCCAAGCAGACCCTTAAAATCTTGCTGAGAATCTGAAATATCTCTGTGAGATGCCACGGATTAAATTACTTTTGCGTTTCCAGTGAAAACAACAAAGAGCTTTATGGCATCTTAAATATGAACCAATTTATTACAGCCATGTAAGTGTCTGTGGTAGACTATAGTCTACCTCATCAGACGAACTCCTCTGTCAAACTGTAGGGAACGATAAACAACCAGGACTATTACTGAAGCAGACTTGTTCCTATGTCTTGCGCTGAAGAATGATGTAATAAGAAAATGAACTTAATCCAAGAATGCCTGGCAGTGAATAGCCACAATGCATCCAAATGACTTTTTCAAGAACAAAAATATTTTGGTCTGGAGAGGGTTTTTGTTTGTTTGTCTGTCTGCTTACCCCCCATCCCCCAACTGCTCTTCTAAAGATGGAGATCTTCTCTCATGTCTTGGAGAAATATTTTTGCATGTATCCCTGTATTAAAGAGGCAAGACACATATTTGCTGGGTTTAAAATAACTATTTAAATTTATTGAAATTAAGGGATCAGCAACATAGCTCCACCTCTTAATATATTGTGATAGTGGAGCTTCCTGCCTGCTACCCCAGTCTTTTTAGGTGAGCCCCCAAGGTCCCTCAGAGCCCACACCTTGAGGCACCAGGGTGCTTATGTACACTTCACCACCTTCTGGGCCCTGTGGCTTTGTGCAGGTGAATCAGGCAAACCTCAGGTGATCCCACACAGCCTTGAAGTAGGCATAGGAGACCACCCATCATCTGAAATGATGCTTCAGAGTGTTCACCAATGTCAGTCTGGGTTTTCCTTCTCTTAAATACACAATGCCCATGCCAACCTGATTTGCACCCACAGGCCCTGCAAGCAGCTTCCCTAACAGGTCTTTGTGGTATAAGCCAAAACAAGCAAAACAAAATCCTTTGCCAGCATTGTCCAACATGATGACAATTCCCACATGGCTGCTAAACCAGGGACCAGTAACACAAGAAACATAACCCAAACAAATCCAAAGCTACCATCCCCAAACTGTACAGGTTGCCTGCACAGATTGCCAAGATGAAGCATGTGAAAGAAGCGGTTAACACAGGAAATGCTTTGAATGGTGCCGCTCCACCACTTCTGCACCAGGCACATAAGCGTTGGATCTGTCCCTCTCTTGTCTCACCCAGGGGTGGGGTGCAAAAAGTGCCGGCAAGCCGGTCAGCATAGCAGCTACCTCAAGAACCAACACCAGTATTTTTAATCATGGTTAAACTCACATAGATGGGCGAGATGTAAGAGCTCATATGGTGAGATACATCTCATCAAGGACCCTGTTAGGCAAAATAATCTAGCTTTGATTCAAACAAGGAGGAGAAGATGCTCAGCAGCAACTAGTTTGGTGTAGTCTTAGACCTCTTTTGCATCATGGTGGCGTTGATATCATCTATTAGGGATGAGGAGATTTCATTGGTTCTTACATTGTTGTACTGTTTTCATTTTCCTGCATTCCACTCCTTTTGAGTTTGGGTTAATTAAAAGCATTTCTACAAGAAATTACCATATCAAGACATAGGTAATATGCTCCACTTTCAGTTCCTCAAGATGCTTTTCATCTCCTTCCCTCTGGTACTGACGTGCATGCCCAAACTGAGGGATGTAATGGCCATGAAGATCATGAGGATGGAGTATGTGCAAATGCTACAAGATTCTTCCTGAGTAGTGTTTCAACAATGTTAAAACATCATACAAAAAGACTCCTTATAGACCCAGCCATAAGACCTTATCAGAATAGCCTTTTTTTAAAAAGTCTGACACTTCATTGATATGTATAGCTGCACAGTTGTATCCCAGCATAAACGCTTGAGTGATGCAAACATATGCAGTTGCCCCTCAAGGGCTTTTCTGCAGTGTTTTATAACAAAGGTGCATGCATCACTAATTCAGAGAAATGGAAAAAGATGGCAGGAGTGAAATTTGTGGCAAATTGCATATAGAGAGCATTATACATAAAATTTGGTGCATCGGGGAGGGCAAACCAACAACAATGAGCAATAGAGAGGAATATTGGTTCCACTTTAAGCAAGACCCTGTAATTTGGAGTTCTGAACACAAGGGATGTTCAGGTGGTGAGAATTCCTGAATTCCTGGATGTTGCTCATCTGTTGGAGTGCACAGCAAAGCTAGGTGGAAACATAGAGATCCTCCAGTACTCAGGACCAGGTGTGAATAAAAAGCACAGCTTCTTTGAATTTATCAGTGACTATGTTGCACCTGCTCCCACACCTGATCATCCCCAAGTCCTGCTTTCAGGCATTCATCTACAGTCTTGCAAAATCACAGAGAGGTTCTCTTCAGGAAATGATTTTTACCTATACTTCCACAATTGTAGTTACTGTTTGAGTTTTGCTATTTTATATTTCCCAGCTCATTTAATTATGTTTTTATTTTGGCACATTTCTGTGAATGTTGTAATTGTGTATGTTTTTATTCTAAGTCTCAATATTGAGAATAGCTGGAATACAAACTAATGTAATACTAAAAATGAAATGTTTATTATAATAACTGTTACATGCAATTGCTGCTTAGCTTGGGTAAAGCAAAGCTGAATTGCTAGAGAGGAGGCAATTTTACAAAGTTCAGTTTTTAGGTGACTACAATACCTAAGGTTAGAATTTGTCCCTAAACATTACAGTTTATTAGAGGAAAATTGCAAGCACTGAGGATGACTACAGAGCAGTAAAGTCTGTTATTTTTAGTATGATGTTTCAACTTTTTTCTTATTTGTTCACTTTGGTTTTCAGTCTTTGTTTTTCAGCTTTCCTTTAAAATGAAAAAATCACTTTGCTTTTTAATATAAACAGTATCTTGTATACAATTCTGTGTCAGAGTATTCTACTGAATATAACCTTCTAATGAATGATGGAGATCGGAGGATGAGATGCACAGACATTGGGACGATGACAATTTATTTCTTTTTAAATTACATTTCTTCCCTGCCTTTTTTTCCCACAAGAAACCCCAGGCAGATTGCTCAATTGTCCTCCACATTTTATCCTCACAACAACCCTGTAAGATAGGCTAGGCTGAGTCTCATGGAATCGGCAAGTGTCTTCCAGTAATTTCCTGAATCCTCGTCCAACACTCTGACCACTGCCCCACACTGGCTCTCTTCCCCTGTGCTTGTTCGTTTCATGTTAAATGTGGAGCAAGTAGTAGAAGAGCTTGAGGAAAAATATAAAAAGAGGAAGAGCAGGAATACTAAATTTTAATATTCTGAAACAATAGGGAACAATGTAAATAACACTTCAGAGCATGGCTTCATGTGGTAACTATACTTTCTCCTTGCAGCATTCTGACTCCAACTGCAACCTGAAGAAGCGAATGAACTCTCTGACCTCTCAAACAGAGCACTCCCCTGACATAAGCATATTGTCCAACAGTGCATCTCAAGGCCAACCAGCATCCGTTCCTTCGCCTCCACCGCCAACTCCACCACCACCACCACCTATTGGAGGCACAAGTAAAATAGACCAGTACTCTAGGATCCTTTTTCCGGTGGCATTTGCAGGATTCAACCTAGTGTACTGGGTAGTGTACCTTTCAAAAGACACTATGGAAGTGAGTAGTAATGTTTCATAGAACGAGAGACTGTGGGTGCTTCCAGATAATCAGATTCTAATCAAATGCTCATCAAAAAGCATTGTGCAGCTATTCTATCTTGCTGTTCTTAACTGATTTTCTGGGTTAAGAAAAAAGACAGAAGCAGTCATGGAAGTCAATGTTGACTGAACTCCCTATGAAATTGTGTAAATGGGACAGGACGATTGCGTAAGAAAATCCTCATCTGGAAACACCTCATGTCTGTTTAATCCATTACTCGATTTAATATTATAGCATCAATTATTTCAGCATTCTTTCAGGAAGATATATGATTGATATTTTAACATCAGGGACATGATGGGTATATGGATCTTTTATGATCAAACAGGATTTTAATTCATTTTGATAAATGGGGAAATCCATGCATGGAAGTCTGTGTGCACAGTTCTGCCTTCTGCAGTGAAGTGACTGGATGAACTTGACAAGGGCTGATGAGTTAGAGAATATGGCTGCTACCCCAGATATTCTCGGGAAGTGGTATTCCTCAAAATGGGGTGCTTGCCTACCCAGATACCTTGAAAGGTTTGGATTCTTTTCCTGAGATCAAATGGACCGTGCTGAGGGGAACATGCCATAGTCTCAGCTTCACACAGAAATGAGAAGCAAATGGAGTATTTACTCAGAACAAACTCTTAACCAGATATTGTCTAGGCAGCCAACATTTATATTGCATTCTTACCTTACTCTATTTCTGAAGAGGTAACGAGCTTCCTGCCCAATAGTGTTATGGATAGATAGAAGCTGGAAAGAAAAGAGAGGGTATGAAAGTTACTACCTGTAGGTTACTACAGTTGCCCTGTATAGCAAACCTTTGATAGAACTCTCTTGTGAGGGCAGGAGGGGTACAAGCAGTTCATGCTCCTGGCTGGTGGACACCTCAGTGGCCCACTTCCATTTGCTAAGCTTCTGGTTCTTACAGTCTTTTCCCTACACTTTCTTCAACATGATCAGGACACTTCCTATTGTTTCTCAAGCTCATGCTGATTGCTTGATGGGTGCTTTGGTTGCTCTTGATGCCACTTGTGGACTTACAGATGTTCTCCCCTATGACATGACTAACTAAAGGAAGCTAATGGAAGAAATGTCTCCTCTCCTCTCCCTATAAAGCTTCCTGAAACTTCTGAAAACCTTCCCTGGAGGGTTGGGAGCTGTCCTGAACAGTCTGTGCATGGGAAATGGGGCCTGCAACCAGAGATGGGAAATTTTCCTTCTGTCATTCCTGAAGACTGTAATGCTATACCTATTTAACCTGGGAAGAAAGCCCAACTGGATGTAATGGAATTTGCTTCTGAGTAAACATGTATACAATAGTACTTTAGATGAGCTTATATTAGGATCCTCCTTTGCCCCCTGTTTCTCCATGTGCCATTTCACATTGTTCAGGAGAGCCTTTTTACCTCCTGGAGAGGGTTTCTGATAAACAGTAGTGGTTCTGGAGAAAGGTGGAGCAGGATGGAAGCAGCCCTTCTGTTAATTGCTTTAAGTTAAAACTTACCGCCTGACCCAAGCCAATGCGTTGGAATCATCAGCCAGTCTGCCCAGCTGGGATAGAGGAAACAGCCAGTTGTCTTGATTGGTCACATGGATTATGGATAAGTAGGACTATGAATAACTGATGCACTTGACACTTCATACCAGCTACTACAAGCATTTGGAAGCATTCAGGTATTTTTCTAAGCTAGTCCAACACATTTCTGTTCCAATTCACACAGGGCAGAAAATCTGGCATCAAATCCACTGTTATTGTTGGCTGACCTGAGGTAGTCTATATCTGGAATCTACTTTTATTGAAATTATTTAAATACTTACAGAACAGTACAGTTCTGTTGGCCACCAAATGGTGGTCCCCAAGGCCCTCAGATCCAGTAGCAGAATTCCCTTTCAGACTTGCTTGGGTTATTGTGTTATTTAAAGATCCTGCTTAGTGTTATCTCTGGTGGAATTTATCTGGGGCAAATGGCAAGTTAAAAAAAGGGCATCTAAGATGGAGCTGTGGCAGCATTTAGACCTGCAGTATGTACTGACGGTCATGTTGTGACAGTCATGCTCTCAGCCTGGAGAAATATGCGCTTACTACTGAAAAGTGGGCAGATGTTAAATTGCGAAAACATGGATGATGTTGTTTATAATTTACAAAACCAAGCATTAAAATCACTGTTGTAACTGGACAGACATCCTCTTCTACATAAGATCAATTTGTAATTAAATTAGATGGGGTGTATCAGTACGTGGCTTCTCTATCACTTGCACATAAAATTGGACCAATGCCATGCATTTTGTAGTTTATCTAATGCAAACACACTCTTCTGGTAATCACAGTAGGATTTACCACTGTGCAAATTAGCACAGTCACGAGCCAGATTCAGAGGCTGATGGGGAAGGATTTTTCTTTCTGTTAAAGTCATTGCCTCTGTGAATGCAGGATTAGGGACAAAGAGGCAGGACTGGCCTCCAAGGTAGCATGGATGAGCATGTGCTAGGGTCCCATACCCCATCAGGGCCCACTAAAGAGACCCTTGGAACTTTGCCTCTTCTTCACCATGGCAACCTTCTCATTCACCTGCCCCCTTTTCTGGTCCAGGCAATGGTACCAGTGAGAAGCAGCAGCAACAGCAGATGCCACTGCCTGTCTGCTCACTGGCTCTTTGTCTTCCAGCAGGCAGGTGGTAGCAGTAATGAAAAAAAATGAGGAGAATTCATGGTGACAATGGAGGTAGGCTTGCTGAGGGTGAAAATATAAAGGACAGGGTGCCTGCCTAAGGGCCCTCAGAAACCTTGAGCCAGCACTGAAAAAAAGCGTAATTGCGTTTGGAAATAACAGAAGTAGATTCTTTCTCACCAGTTATGTTTGTTATCATAAATTGTGAGCATAATATTAAAACACTTTTGACCACTTTAATAGACAAATGAATATTTTAATGTTCAAGCCATGCCTTACCCAAACTCTTTTGCTGATCTGTTAAGATGCCGTGCAGTTTCAAGTATAATCTAACTGCTGTGGGGCAGTAATAGAATGTTGATGAATAGCACAATTTCTGAGGGAGGGGTTAGTTTACTGAGAATAAATCTCACAGTTTATGCTTCATCAGGCTGGGGAGAAAGGATTTTGGAGGAGTGGGTGGAAAAAGAATTCAAGAGGGGATGTGGCAAAAGACCAAGGAGGCAAATGCTATGGGCAGATATTAAGTGGAAAGTAAGTAGGCTGAAGAAAGGATGGATGGAGATGAGGGCTGGTTTGCACATCACAATATGATACCCTGGAAACAGACTATGATCGGTTGGCTGATCGTGCCACATTTCTCCCTCCAAATGATCGGGCACCATGTGCTTTGCTGCTGCTTGTTTCTCCTCTTAGTCCTCCCACCATTCCTGGCATGTATCTTATATATTGTACAGAAGAATCACAAGAGCTGCTGAATTGAAATCTGTCTTCATTTTATAAGTGATACACATGTTGATACCAGTTCCTAGGCCATGTTCAGTGGGAAAACACCCTCTCTGTTGTGCTGCATTACACCTGTGACAATTAGAGGGGGTTGTATTATTTGATTCAGATTTTTTCCCATCTGAAACTGCATTCTCAAGCTTTCCAAATATCTCAAAATTCTAGTAAGAATGAATATATTATTGTTGCCTCTTTGTTTCTGTAATTGCATTTTTAAAAGAATAAACTTTTTATATGTATTTTGTTTACTGTTCTGCAGAAATGTTTATTGATCGATTACATGTTCATACCACCCAGTAGCCAAAGCTGTATTTGCATGGGAGATCATAATTTCTCATCAAGCTGGAGTAGTATAGGCAACTGGGAGATGTATATAGAAGCAAATCCAAGAGTCATTGTCCGGGACACTTATTATTGAGGTTATGAGTCAAGTCAGCTATGATTCTTCCATACAATATGTTGCTGATTTAGGCTTTCCGAGACAAATGAAAATCAATAGTAGCTGTGTTGCTGATTGACTGCCCTCCAGGGAGTATTTTACTGAATTTTCCTTTGAATTTTTCCTTTCAGTTCTTTGAGCCTACTGCAATGCATCTTCGAAATGACCATCAGCCCAACTGATGAGCACAAACACTGCTATGACACAGGTCTGAAAGACTTGCTGAGCTCAGTGATTAGTTGAAAGGGCGACTGTGAAGCTGTGGTCACTGTGAATGCTAAATACTTCATGTTTGGAAGACATCCCCCAAAGACATGAACCCTTGGCACGTGAAAGCCACAGTCCACATAATGTATGCACCCTACCGAGGATGACTGTGAGCACAAGTTCTTCTGATGACTCACTTTATGTTCTAGCTTGTTTGCTAAATAGCTCAGGGCTGAGGGTTGGGATTAGTTATTCAGGTTGTTCTGGCAGAATTGTCCTTTACAAAGTGTTGTCTTAGGCCAAGTACAAATTCAAGTATACACTATAGTATTACTGCAGCGATACGATGCTCATACAAATGCCAGGATAGGAGGCTGTCACTGAAAAACATTCCAAACAGATATAGGTAAGCTGATGTGCAGCTTGGTCATGTGAATACTTAACTCGTGTATTTCTGCTGAAGGCATTGGGGCCTGCTCCCTTGTAACTGTGCATAAGACTACAGCCTTAGTCCCACTAACTTAAATGGGGGCAGTGCTAGCTTTCCTAGAGCCAATGTTGTATTTCACTTCATCAGGGACTAGTGTACTTTGTAATAAAACCTGCATTCAGCAAAGCAGAGCCATAATCCCTCAACGTCCTATATCTGTCCTTGATTACTGACAATCAAGATAGCAAAAGAGTGGCATTTTATGCATTACTGGAAATGTAATCAATCAGCAGGGCTATCCTGTGTGATTACTCTGAAGTAAGTGCCACTCTCTCCAGCTGGGCTTACTGCCCAGTGAATGTGTATAGGATTGCTGCTTAAATTAATTATAATTATAATTTAATCTGATAATTATTTCAGATTAAATAAAACGAAGTACTAGGGTGCTTTGCTGGACATTGCTGTTGGATGCACAGAATCTCCAGCAACTATAGATAATAGTATGTTGAATGTTTGATTCAAATGCGAAAATGATTGCAATATCTTCCTAAAGTAATGCTATAATACATGAGTCATACTGGACATTACACGAGCAAAAGCAGCTCTCCGCATTATATTTGCCAAGTGAACAGCTAGGGGTACTCACAGTGCAGGATCAGTGGGGAGCTAGAAGATGGCCCTGGCAGCTGCTGATTCTCTCTAGCAAATCTTCTCTGAGGTGGCTTCACAGGTGAGCTCTCTACTTTTGGAGCCCAGTCTAGGGGAAAACCTGGAGCACATTTTCTGGGGAGATGAGAAGGGGTTAAACATAATGTCCTGTCTGCATTCCCTTCAAAAAATCCACCCATGCCAAAACCTGCATTAGTGTTGTGATGAAAGGTTGGCTAGACTTTCCTTTCTATGTTAGTCGGGCTTTAAAAGCAGTTCGTCTCTACCTTTATTTGTTCCCAACGTCCTAGACAATGATTGACAAGACTTTAATATTGCTTTTTTGTGCAAGATCCTACTAGTTTCTTGGATGAAGCTGATTATTTGGATCTTTTCCAATCTAGGTTCTGTCCTGGGTTTGCGACAGAAACAGCCTTTGTTGCATTGGTGGATAACATGTGCTGGTAACTAGACAGGGATTGCATCCCAGTTGGACCTATTAGTGGTGTTCCCAACTATCAACTGTAGTATCACTTTGGGCATGTTAGCAAGTACAGAACTTGTGGAAGGTGCTCTGAAGTGGATTTGGCCTCTTTGGGCTGAACAACTCCAAGAAAGGGATGCTGAACAACTTTACTTGTAGTCTGTGGAGTTCCTCAGGTTCTGTTTTGTCCCTGTGGCTTCTAATAACTACATGAAACCACCTGGCAAGGTAGAATTTAGTGGGTTGGGTGTCACTGCTCTGCTGATGGTGCTCATTAATATCTCTCTTTGTCAGTGGGTGTTAAAGATTGTTCTTCTAGTCTTGAACTGTTCTCAGGAGGTAGACTAAAAGCCAAGACAATGCAGATGAGATGGAGGTACTTTGGTCAGCATGCAGGATTGGGGTTACATCCTCTTCTGGATGGGGCTGCATTCCCTCTGATCCACAGTTTGGGAGCACTTCTGAATCCAGCATTGCTCCTCAAAGGGCAGGTGTCTATTGTGGCCAGGCGCACCTTTGCTCAGATTTGTCTAATGTACCGTCGGCGCTGCTTCCTAGGAAAAATCAGAAATGGCCACAGTGATCTATGCCTTAAGTAGATTACTATCCATGTGCTCTGTATGGGCGTCCCTTGAAACTAATACAGAATGTAGTGGCCAGACTGCTCTCTGATAGACCCATTGTTGACCATGTTGCACCAGTCTTGTACTGGCTTCTGGTTGGTTTCAGAATGCAATTCAAAGTATTGGGTCTTAAAAACCTAAATAGTTTAGGGCCAGGTGATCTAAATAATGGATAATCTCCTCCCATATGATTCTGCCCATACTTTAAGAGCTGCTCCAGATGCCCTTCACTTGTCATGCCACAAAGAAAAGCTAGGTTGGTAGGAAGATTGAAAAGTCCTTTTTAAAACCCAGCTTTTGAATTTCCTTTCTAGGAACTGGTTTCATCTTTGGTTACTTTTAATTACAATTACAGTTTTGCCCACCCCACATGTCTTTTGGATGATTTTAAAATTTGATTAATCTGTCGCCTTTTAAAAATACTTGTTTCTCTTGTTCTTTGTAGGTTTGTTGTGGTATTGTAAAAAAATGTTAAGGATTTTAAAAAGCGATATTCAATGGTAATATTAGTATTAATTTGTAAGTTGTCCTGGGGGACCTTTAGGACCAAAGTACAAATGCTTTTATGAATTGAAGCAGGCATTGGAATCTGAATGGTGCAGCAGTTTGACTCAGACAATTGTTCTGAACCAAAGTGCAGTTTGCTGTAGTTCTTGTTTTCATTGCTGTTTGCTGTAGTTCTTGTTTTATAGACCACACCTGTAGCCCTGGTAGGTCTCTGGTGATGTACATTGCCACTAAAACCAACAATGAAATAACTCTATAAATACAATATTACAATACAGACAAGGTATAGTAACTTAAAAACATCAGTATAAAATTCACAAATACATAAGGCTATAAAATCGATTATTAAAATACCTGGAAAATAGAACAGGCTTTGCCTGGTGCCAAACGTTAGTAATGAAGGTGTCAGGCGAACTTCTTTGGAGAACCTGTTCCAGCGGTGGGGCACAACCACAGAAAAGGCCCTCCTTCTATTTGTTACCCACCTCACCTTGTTAAGAAAGTTCTCGGACTCAGATCTTAATGGATGGGAAGGTACATATGGGGGAACACAGTACTTCAGGCATCCTGGTCCCAAGCCATTCAGAGCTTTATATGTCAACACCATCACTTTGAATTGGCGAACCTCAACTGGTAGCCAGTGCAGATGGTATAGAATTGGCATGATATGGGTGCATGGACTAGCTTTTTTCAAGAAGAGTGCAGCACTGTTTTGAACCAGTTGACTTTTCCAGACCATCTTGAAAGGCAGCCCCATGAAGAGTGTGTTACAATAGTTTAATGAGGCTGTTACCTGGGCATGGGTAATGGTGGACAGGCTCTGTTTGTCCAGGTAGGGCCAAAGTTGGTATGTAGCTGAAGGAAGGCACCCCTGGCCACTGAGTCTGCCTGAGACTCGAATGGTGGCTCTGGGTCCAGGAGTATGCCTAAGCTATGGATCCTATCCTTTAGGGGAAGCATGACCCATCCAGAACAGGTTGAAGACCTCCCAACCTGTCAGATTGTCCGTCCACCAACAGTATTTGCATCTTGTCTGGACTGAGCTTCAGTTTATTGGTCTGCATCCAGCATCTTCTTCTTTCCTGCTTATGTGACTAATGTGGATACAAAAAACTGTGACAAAGACAGACCCACAAAACACAGTGGCACCCTCCACCAAGATGGGACTGTATGATTCCATTAATTTTTTGTCCAGTGTTTTAGCTGTAGTGCATATGCATTCTTGAACACTGGTAAGTCATCACATAAAAATCTGGATATAGCTACATTACATTAAAGCTGCTTGATCTGCAATTACATCAGGACTACATTTTTACAGTGTGCGGGAGTGTTTACAGTAAAACTGCACATAAAGAAACTTGAAACATGGTTGACACCAAGTCCAATAAAAAAGCAACAAAAGTAATGCACATTTGCACATTGGGAAAAATGAGCAGAGAAAGGCTGAGGTGTCAGCTCTACATCAGAAGCAAGAGCAGGAAGTTCATATCTGGAAGGTAATTTTGGAAGTTTCCTGTCCAGTTCTGCCATTATTTGAGCTTCTTAGAGAGTAGTTCTATTTGGGCCTCTTAGAGACATTGTCTAGGGGTCATAGGGTAATTTGAATTCCCAGAAACAAGTTCAGAGACAGGTGAACTCCCATCACCACCATTCTCTCACAGCCCAAGCAGGAAGAACTGTGCCAGCTGTCTCTCTGAAGTTGCATCCTCAGCTTCGAAGAGGGGTAATGAGGGTGGGACTGGTGCCAACAGGATATGAAGTATGCTCACTCCACTCAAGTTCACGGGGCTTCTGAGCTTCAAGGGCACAGTTGATGGGACTGCAGCCTTTTCCCATTAAAGTCAAAAAGACTAGATTTTATTTATGTATTTATGTATTTAAAACTTTTCTATACTGTCTTACAATAAAACAAAGTAAAACACAGCATCGATTCTATGCAATAAAACCCCAATTAATATCACAATCTAAACCTTACAATACTGGGAAAATAAAAAGGTTTTGGCCTGGTGCTGAAAAGAATGAAGTGTCTGTGCAAGGCAAACCTCTTTGGGGAACGCATTCCATAACTGGGGCACCACCGCAGAGAAGGCCCTCCTGCAGGTAGCCACCCTCCTAATTTCTTTCAAGAAGGACTCCCAAAGAAGGACCTCCGGTCCAGATCTTAACAGGTGGACAGGCACATAGGGAAGGAGACACTCCTTCAGATGTCCAGGTCATAAGCCTGAATATCTGAAGATCCATGTAATGGCTCATGCATCACTCCTTCTAAATCAAAGATTAGAA